ACTGGGGGGTAAGGGAGGGCAGGGGTTTGTCAAGGGCTGGGGGGAAAAAAGGACACTTATGTAATACCCTTTGTAATACTTTTAGCGAAAAATAAAAAAAAATTTTTAAAAAAAAATTCTTTCCTGATTTAAAAAAAATATATAGGAACTAAGTTTTGTTTGTGTGGGTTTTTTTGTTGTTTTTTTTACTGAAGAGAGTCTGATTCGGATTTCTATAACACGTAGTTAAAAGAGTGTTAACATACTGACATTTGATAAACTATGGGTTGTTGTTTTTTTTGTTAATTCAATACACGTTTGTTGAGTCCTTGCTATGTGCTGGGCACTGCGCTAGAAAGGGAGGCTCTAAAGCAGCGGTTCTCAACCTGTGGGTCGCGACCCCTTTGGGGGTCAAATGATCCTTTCACAGGGGTCGCCTAAGACCATCGGAAAACACATATATAATTACATATTGTTTTTGTGATTAATCACTATGCTTTAATTATGTTCAATTTGTCACAATGAAATTGGGGGTCACCACAGCGTGAGGAACTGTATTAAAGGGCCGCGGCATCAGGAATGTTGAGAACCGCTGCTCTAAAGCCAGTCAGAGCTCCCTCAGGGCTCTCCCGTGGGAGAGACACAGGCAACAATAACTCAGGTGCCGTGTGGCACTCTCTAGCCCAGTGATGGCGAACCTTTCGAGCTCGGCGTGCCAGCATTTGGAAAAACCCTAACTTAACTCTGGTGCCGTGTCACATAGAGAAATTTTTTGATATTTGCAACCATAGTAAAACAAAGACTTATATTTTTTTAAGATTATTTATTAGAGATGCAAATAAAAACTACAGTGAGGTATCACCTCACCCTGGTCAGAATGGCAACTATCAATCAAAGACTTATATTTTTGATATTTATTTTATATATTTAAATGCCATTTAACAAAGAAAAATCAACCAAAAAAATGAGTTCGCGTGTCACCTCTGACACGCGTGTCATAGGTTCACCATCACTGCTCTAGAACAAGAATCCGTCGGGGTAGGTCTGCACCCAGCCTTGCCTGGGCTGGGAGGCGCTGCGAGAAGCTTCATGGAGGAGGTGGCGCCGGAGGAGGGGAATATTTCTTGAGTGGAAAGGGATGATTATCTATGTAATTAACCTGCGTGGCCAGAATTTGAAAACTGCAAAAGTGGACAGAGAGAGGGCGCTGTGGCAGTGGGAGGGGGTCGAGGGCTGTGGACTCACCCGGACATCACTTACTCAGCTTTCGTGGGCCCCACCCCTCACCCCTAACCCCGCTCCCCTGCCCCCAACCCCCAGGCAGGGACACAGCCCGGGGCAGGGCACTGTAGCGTACGTGTGCCCACTCTGTCATGCCACACGGAACCTGCCCACAGGTGAATACACACGTAGGGAAAGTAGGGTGTCCACGCTCAACAACCCGCAGGCAGAAATTCATGGCAGCGCTGACGGAGAGAAACGGCCGCTGGCATCTTTGCGGCGACCCCGAGAGTGTTCCCAGGGGCGTGTCCCGCTCTGGACCCCTCCTGGGCTTCCTGCGGCTCTGGCCTCGGCTCCCCAGGTCCAGAAAGCGGGGCCTGGGCTGTTGGGAATTTGCTCACAAACCCCTTTGGGGACTTTCAGCCCCACCCCCTCCAGGAGGTCAGTGTCCTTGTCCCCGACCTTCACCCACGCGTGCCCCCGGCGCTCAGCGCTGAGGGTGGGGCTCCAGGGGGTACACGGGCCCTCTTCCCTGCCTCCCCTCGAGGCCCGTGGTGCTGACAGCGGACGCCCAGGCCCGGGGGCAGGGTCACTGGGACCTGAAGTCCTAGGAGCCTCCGGTGGGATCTGGGCAGCTGATCCTCTAAAATTACCTTGGAATCAACAAACTGCCCACGTTCCTCGCCAAGTGGGAGAGTCGCCGCCACATTCTGAGACTAGAACACTGTTCAGTCTCAGGGAGCACCGGACCCACGCATTTCCCAAAGCCTTTTTCATTATTATTAGGTGACGAACAAATCTTTTAATCAGATCTTGTGCCAACTTACAGATATACACAAAACACTAAGAAGTGCCTTATTCGGGCCCAGCCGGTGTGGCTCAATGGTTGAGCATCGACCTATGAACCAGGAGGTGACGGTTCAATTCCGGGTTGCGGGCTGGATCCCCAGTGGGGGGTGCGCAGGAGGCAGCTGATCCATGATTCCCTCTCATCACTGATGTTTCTCTCTCTCCCCCCTTCCTCTCTGAAAGCAATAGAACGTATGTATTTTACAAGTGCCTTCCGGTCCTCCAAATGGACTTTCCTTCTCTGCTACGTTCCCATCACAGCACGTGCGTCCAGGGAGCCTCCTCTGTCTTCCTCTTTTGCGTGGAAGCCTTGTTCGTCTTCGCTTCTCTGCGTGGCCTCCGCAGGTGCCCTGTGAGCTGGCGGCTCCCGCCTTCGCCCCTCCCGCCCTCTGCCCCTCCCGCCCTCTGCCCCTCCCGCTGTGCCGCAGCCCCTGGTCCTCACCGCAGGCCGGGCCCCTGGGCTCTGGAAGCAGAATCAAGCGCATTTGAACATCAGCTCCGTCAGCTCCCGGCTGACTCTGGGTGCCCCCAGGCATTTGCTATGAAAACCGGTGTTTCCTCTTCTGTTCCAATGGTCTTGGCTGAGCTGACGTCTAGTCCCCTGCGCTCCGGCCCCTGCTGGTGGCCTGGGGCGGCCTGTCCGTCCAGCGAGCTGGCCTTTGTAGCTTTGCCCCCGGGCTTCTCCTCGCTGCCTCCTGGCCTCTGCCTGCAGCTATGCGGCAGGCCTGCCTGGCCTCCTTCCTCCTGTCTCCAGCCTCTGTGGACATGTGTGGACCCCCCAGACGGACCCTTCCATGTCCCTCCCTGCAGGGCCCAGTCCTAGCTCCGGACTCTCCTGGTCAGAGGTCTCACCCCCGTTTCTCACCGGACCCATGAGGCCTTGCGAATATAGACAAATTGTATTGTGTTGTTGAGCCTCTCTCTTCAGTCATCAGCTAACTCAGGGGAAATGTCATTATTTTAGCAAAACTGAATTCTGGGGCCCAGTTTCATGATGTGTATCTGATTCCAATCAGTGCCAGGCGCTGGGGCATGTCCCGAGCTGGGCCCCCGGGGCTGCCGGGTAACCCCGCCCGCATTCCTGCCTTATCTGGACACTGGGCAGTGCCTGTGGGTGCTGAGCTCTGGGGCCCTGCAGTGACTGACGTGGTGACCTCAGTTCATAGATTTGCTCCAGGAAAGGAGTGGGTGAGTGGCGATCACTGGGATGAACGGTGTGACTGGTCTTGTCCTTGTCTCTCAGCGCCGTTAGAATCCACTGGAATACGCTGTCCGGGAGCCAGGAGACGTGTGAATGGCCTGTCTGCAGGTTAGTGGGACGGGGCATGTTGTCCGGTTGGAAATTAAAGTTTCCCGTTAACTGGCCGCTCCGCTGGCGGCCGCGCTGTGGGTCCACGGGTAGCTGGGCGGCTGGATCCAATGGGAACGCACCATCGATGGGTCAGGAACCAGGTGTGGCCGGCGGAGCAGATGTGCGTGTTTCGGGGGCCGACAGGCCCTCAGCACCAGCGGCTGGATGTTGGGGGACGTGCACACTGAAATCGCCCAGGTCCCCACCACGCCGGGGCCCAGGTCTCCTCCTCGAGTCCCCCTCCCTTGTGGGGGTGTCGGTCTCCCTGTCAGCGGACGGCACGCCTGGGAGTTGATGCCTCCGATGAGCAGAGTTCCGCGCTGGCCGCTGCCTGTTGGGAGGCGCCCGGGAGTGAGCATCCTGCCCGTGGCCCCGGCACCACCTGCCTTGGTTAGAGGGAGCAGGGCGACCGCGTTGGCAGGGGCTCCCTTTGAGGAGAGTAACCGAGCTGCACCCCTCTTTCAGGTGAGTCCCGTGACCTGGCGGATGCAGGGAACCCGAGCGCGCCGGCCCCGCGGGGACAGCATGGCCCCAGCCCCCGGGCACAGCCTCCTCCTGGTCGTGCTGGGCGTCCTTGCCCTTGGCCACCTTGCAGGAGGCCAGCTCAGCAGCACCCTGATCCTCGCCCAGGACAACGCCGTGCGGAGTTGCCGCTGCCCCAGCGACATCCGGGATGTTACTGTGACTACAGCCTGGCCAGCCTGCTGTGCGCTGCGACGACGGTGCCCGGCCCCTGGCCCCTAGTGGCCGCCTGACCGTCTGGTTCACGTGCTCCGCCGCCCTGGGCCTCCTGCTGAACTTCACGCGGGACCTGAGGCTCTCGCTGTGCAGCGAGCACACCCTCCCCGCCCGGTCCCTGGCCCTCTGCGGCCTGGAGCTGCTCCGCGTCACCGTCCCCGCCCAGGCCTGGCGCCCCAAGGCCCCGCACAGCCTCCTCCTGCTCCGGGAGCCCCGAGAGCAGCCCCCGGAGCGGCCGGCGGGCCCGTCCCGTTCGGACATCGCCCTCCTGGACACGGGCCTCTTCAACAGGGGGTCGAGCCTGAAGGCCTACAGCGCGGGCACCTTCCCCTCCTTGTCTGGCTTTGGCGCCTCCCCGAGCGTGAGCAACTAGAGCCGTGTGGTCACATTCGTTTACTAACGAGTCACTGGTCCCCCCGGGACTCGGGCCACTGTGGTCGTTTGAAGAAGGGACGGGAGCCAGTTCCTGGGCATCTGCACTAGCAGCTTCCCTCTCCCAGCCCCTCACAGCAGGGCCACTCGTACCAGCACCAGTACCAGCCCCTCTGCCGGCCCCTGCCCAACCAGGGCTGTTTGGAAAAACCAAATAAAAGGAAACCAAAAGCCACCTGGGTTCAGCCCAGAACATGTGTTGAGGGCCAGCTGGCGGCGGCCCCTGCGACCCCGGGGGGCGTGGAGTCCTGTTAGACAGAAAGAGGGCTGCAGGGCGCCGGGGACCCTCCTGGGGCGGCGTGGGGGCCGAGCCCGGAGCCCGTCTCCCTCAGAGCCGCCATGACTGCTCCCCGCTGGTCTGTGGCCTGGACCTGCTCCTAAGTCAGTGATGGGTTTCAGAGGTTTCAGGGCTGTCAGCTCCGCAGAACAACGAGGTTCTCTCGCACTGATGAGGTCATTTCCAAACACCTTGCTAAGAGGACACATTGAGAAAGGGGAGTTTCGTGAGTGTATTCGGTGGGGGAGGCGGGGTAGGGTGGGAACTTAGGGCCCAAATGAGGGAGGGCACCAGGGTTTTGAGGGGGACAGAAGTGAATATCAGGGCGCAAACCAACTGCACTACCTCCAAGTTTGCCGGGACCCCGGGGAAGGTCTCCTCGCCCAGCCCTTCTTGACCTTCCCGTCTCTTCTTTGCCTCCTTCTGTCGCTGTCCCTGCCTCCACCTCCCGCCCCTCCTCCCTCTCCTGCTCCCAAACCAGAACTGAGATCAACACCGTTAGAACCACATCTAACTCTGGCCTGGGAACCCAGCCATCGCATCATTCCAATGGGTAACGGGCTCCTGCGACCAATAGAGAATTTTTAAAATATATTTTTATTGATTTCAGAGAAAAGGGAGAGGGAGAGATAAAAACATCAATGATGAGAGAGAGTCATTCATCAGCTGCCTCCTGCATGCCCCCCACTGGGGATCGAGCCTGCAACCCGGGCATGTGTCCTGACCGGGAATCCAACAGTGACCTTCTGGTTCATAGGTCGAAGCTCAATCACTGAGCACACTGGCCAAGCTGTATTTTTTATTGTTGATACTATTACAGATATCTCCCATTCCCCTTCTCCATTCACCCCCCTCCTCCCAGCCCCCACCTAAGGCAAAACTTTTAAAATTAAACCAACTCATCATTGTACAAAGAACATTTTTCCTCACAGAGGCCAAACTTACCGTTAGAGTAGAACGAATATAAAGAATCCATGGCGATTATGATAGAAAGGTCTAAATTCAGAGTGCAAAGGGATGAAACATGGTTGCATTCACGATACCATAATTAGAAGACATAATTTTATTATGATGTCTTGGGGCTAATGACTTTAGGTCACTTTCACCATAGTTTTCTCTTAATGTAACAGAAATAACCTGAAATGTCTACATTTGCTTAATTGGTGGGGGATTTGGCCATCCGGGCTAATTAGCATGAGTCCATAATGTCAGTGTTTAAATTAGGCCACAACTAAGACCAAAGTATGAATTTTAATAGAAAAATGTAATGACCTCATTACTGACATGATACTTGAGAGATGAGTGAGATTAAAGTCCTGGGAAAGACAAGGAAGGGACGAGCAGAGAAAGGCAAGGAGGTTATAAGTGAAAAGATTAATACTAAATACATTAACTGGCATTACTTCCTGAAAAGGTGAAAAATTGGATTTTAATGGGTTTTCACTAATAAAGCATAAAGTTGAATGATGTTAGAAATTCTGGACATTTTAATGTGCTTATCTTCCATTTGGTGGCTTTTAATCGTTTCAAAACCCTTTCACATGTGAGTTAAGTGGTTCTTATAAGAAGTGATTGTGGGTCAATGGGACGTAAGTCAATAGAAGAGGGACGTTAATGTGTTAGAAATCAAGCCCGAGGCCACCAGATTTCTGGACTGAAAATGTGGTTCCGGTTGCCCTGACCGGACAAAGAACAGAAAAAACCCACAGCGCATACGTGGGGGAGGAGGGAATGGTGACGTTCCCTATTTTAAAACCTGAATCTTTTAAATCTAGGTTCTATTAATAGATAGAAAAGACAATCTTACTGAATTAGATATAGTGCCTAAACCTCACTAGAGCTGGAAAGAATTTAGACATTTTCTTTCTTTTGTTGTTAATCCTCATCTGAGGATATTTTCCCATTGATTTTTAGGGAGAGTAGAAGAGAGAGGGAAAGACAGAGAGAAACATTGATGTGAGAGAAACACATCCATTGGTTGCCTCCTGCATGAGCTCTGACCAGGCCCCGGGCTGGGGAGAAGCCTGCAACCAAGGTACGTGCCCTTGACTGGATTCAAACCCAGGACCCTTTGGTCCGCAGGCTGATGCTCTATCCACTGAGCCAAACCGGCCAGGGCCATTTTCTAACCTTTTGAATGGGACCACTCAGATACTCTGGATGAAGGTACCTGCCTCTCATTACTCAAAATTACTATATTCTTGCAAGGCAAGGAGCTCTCCTCACTTCAGCCCACTGCTTCAGTACCAGTGAGCATATATGATGGCTATCTTTAAAAAAGGAATAAAGTGAGTAAAAGCTCCTCTCTAACCAAAAGCTATAGCTGAAGACTATTATTAACTAGTAAACTTTTTTTAAACAACCATATAATTTATACAGATAATATTAACATTACTACAAAATTAAAATAACTCTTGGTTATTCTGTTAGAATTCTTTGGTCCTTGTGCTCTCAGGTTCTAAGGGAAACGAACATGAATTCCTTTAAGACAGTGGTTCTCAACCTTCTGGCCCTTTAATACAGTTCCTCATGTTGTGACCCCCCCAACCACAAAATTATTTTCGTAGCTACTTCATAACTGTGATGTTGCTACTGTGATGAATCATAATGTAAATATCTGATATGCAAGATGGCCTTAGGTGACCCCTGTGAAAAAGTCGTTGACCCCCAAAGGGGTTCCGACCCACAGGTTGAGAACCGCTGCTAAGCAAACACACACGCAAACAATAAAGCATTATCGGCAACAACAAAACAAAGAAGATGTGCCCGGCCAGCGTGGCTCAGGGGTTGAGTATCCACCTATGAACCAGGAGGTCAGGGTTGGATTCCTGGTCGGGGCACATGCCCAGGTTTCGGGCTCCATCCCCAGGGTGGGGCGTGCAGGAGGCAGCCGATCAGTGATTCTCTCTCATCATTGATGTTTCTCTCTCTCTCCCGCTCCCTTCCTCTCTGACATCAATAAAAACATATCTAAAAAAAAACAAGAACGAAGAATCAATGTGCTCTGGGTTCTGGAGTCTCTGCGCAGACAGGAGCACAGTCCTGCGGCAGGAGAGCTGTGAGCAGCCCCGGAAGGCAGCCCCCACACCCTGCACCGTCCTCTTCCGCTTCATTCTTCTCTCCCGCTCCGCAGACTCCTTTGCTCAGCTCCTGACCTGCATGGGAATTTACGCCCTTCCTTTGGCTCTCGAGTTCATTGCAAGTCCAGCCACAAGCAGGGACTCACTGTCTCTGTTTCAAATGCAAAATCCTGGGAGAACCTGATCCGGCACCGTGCGTCAGGGGCCTGTCCTTCGCCCGGTCTGAGCGGTAACTAGGCTCCCAGTCTGAGCGGTAACTAGGCTCCCAGTCTGAGCGGTAACTAGGCTCCCAGCCTGAGCGGTAACTAGGCTCCCAGCCTGAGCGGTAACTAGGCTCCCAGTCTGAGCGGTAACTAGGCTCCCAGCCTGAGCGGTAACTAGGCTCCCGGCCTGAGCGGTAACTAGGCTCCCAGTCTGAGCGGTAACTAGGCTCCCAGCCTGAGCGGTAACTAGGCTCCCAGTCTGAGCGGTAACTAGGCTCCCGGCCTGAGCGGTAACTAGGCTCCCGGCCTGAGCGGTAACTAGGCTCCCAGCCTGAGCGGTAACTAGGCTCCCAGTCTGAGCGGTAACTAGGCTCCCAGCCTGAGCGGTAACTAGGCTCCCAGCCTGAGCGGTAACTAGGCTCCCAGCCTGAGCGGTAACTAGGCTCCCGGCCTGAGCGGTAACTAGGCTCCCAGCCTGAGCGGTAACTAGGCTCCCCGGCCTGAGCGGTAACTAGGCTCCCGGGCCTGAGCGGTAACTAGGCTCCCAGCCTGAGCAGTAACTAGGCTCGCAGCACTGAGCGGGACCTAGGCTTCCAGTCCTGAGCGGGTAACTAGGCTC